GATCAGCCCATGCTGGCGAAACGTGAAAACCAAAATACGGCATTATCAAGCGAATTTTGGGGATCTAACATCCCCAACACTGAGGCAGGCTCGATAGATTGTATTTAGCAAATTTACACTCTTAGTCAATTAAAAACGAAAACATTACATTGAACACTCTATTTGCACACCATCTTTGAGTCGTGACTTCCAACGCTCCAGCCTTCTTCCATTCCTGCTCTTGCTTCCTTTCCTTCCTGTTGGTACTCCATTTACTTCTTGCTTTTGCTCCATTTGCTTTTCGTTTTCCTCTAGTGACCGTGAGAGTTCTTCTTTCACGTCCCTTCTTACACTACTTATATCGTCCGTATAAGTAGCACACCACAATAGTAGTAGTGACTGGTGACTTTACTGCTCAAGTAGGTAGACTTATTGAAAAGTAATGACACCTTGGTGCATGTTATGGTGTTTCGGCTAATAGAATAGATAATGGGGACGGTCTGCTGCAACCATGCTCAGATAACTTTAAACATAAGGAAAAATATCTTTTGATCTGGCGACCTTCAAAGTCGTCACAACGCTGGACCCTACTAGATCACATCGCCACCAGTCACCGGTGGGTTCGATAGAGGACTGTCGCTCGTACTGAGGTACTTGTTTAGACTCAGGCCATGCTCTTGTGCGAGGGCGGCTTACTGGACATAAGAAAAATATCGCAAGGAAACCTCTTATGGCTCAACTTGATGATAACAAAGCTAACAGTATATTTCAGGAACAACTAGAGAGCTATATGGTAAGTGATACCCAACCTGAGGCAGCTTGCAATCATATCAAAAAGGCTGTGGAATCAGCAGTGATATCAGTTAGTAAGGTAAACCATTTGGCTAGAATAGAGCCGTTGATCTCAGTAGCATCCACCGAACTGATAGAGGCTCGAAAACTCATCCCACTTGGCTCTGAGTGCGACAAGGAGCGGAGTCAGCTTAGACGTAGGCTGATAAAAAGCCTACGCAATGATCGAGAACAGTGGTGGGTGGAGAAAGCGAGAGAAATGAAAAAGGCAGCAGCGATAGGCAACAGTAGGCATCTATTCAGGCTTATCATGGAAACCGGTTTCAGGAACCCTAATGTGAGACTATTTCGGAAAAGGATGGTCTTATTATTCATTCTCAATCCAGGAGATTAGATCGATGTGCAGAGCACTTTAAGGATAAGTTTGATTGGCCTACTGCCCGCGATCTCCAGTCATCTGAGTGGCATATCAATGTATGTTGTCCGGCTGTTTATAAATTTGAGAAAGCTATAGGAAATCTGAGGCCAGGGAGAGAGGCGGGTCGTGATAGATTGAAACCTGAGATTTCTAAGGATGGTGGTCGAGTTTTAATCTTTGGTAGAATCTGGAAATTCCATCTGACTGGTCTCAATCCCAAATTGTCCTAATTTATAAAAAAGGACAAAAGTCTTTTTGTGACAATCACAGAGATAATCACTTTAACTAATATAGTTTCTAAATTGTTAGCCTCAATTATCCTTAGACGCCTAACTAGAGGTCGTGAAGAGCAGACTCGAGAAAACCAGTCTGGTTTCAGACCTGAACGTGGCTTTATAGACCAAGTTTTCACACTCAGACAGATCCTGGAACATAGACACATTTAGGTGTACGACAATAGTTGTTTTCCTGGACCCTAAGGCTGCATTTGACTCTGTGGATCGTGAGGTTCTGTGGCAGTGTCTGTCATTTTAAAGGTGTACCAGAAAAGTACATTGATCTTATACAGGCTCTCAACTCGAACACTACAGGTCAAGTTAAAGTTTATGGCGAACTGTCATCGGAATTCTGTACTTCGAATGATGTTCCCCAGGGCTGTCCACTCTCTCCATTCCTGTTTAACTATGTCTAAAACATGCTTTTAGAGTTAACTTTATCTTCGTCTTACTTTTCAGGAGTGGACATTTTACCAGGACGCACGCTTGCTGATTTAGAGTATGCTGACGAAATGTTCCTATTCGGTGAAGACGCTAACGAAATTCAGTCTTCTGACCACCCTAAGCAACAGTTAAAGCATGTTCGAGATGCGATTCTCCCCCTCGAAATGCAAAATGTTGCTTCAAGACTGGGTTGCATCGGCACCTGAACTATTGATAGAGAGTGAAGTAGTTGAGCGTATAGACCGTTTCACTTTCTTTGTGTTCTCTCAAATCCTGACCTTCAGAGTTTGTCATCTCCCTTATCTTTCTCTTTTAAGTTTATTTCACTAGATTCTACTCCTGGAATAGTATCGTCGAACCCTAATCTCTTCGATTACTGCTAATAATTTAACTACATCTACTGCTATGGGATTTGAATTAACAACTGAATCTCTGTGCTAGTGTGGTATAGCATCTTGAACTGATGTACGTACGTATGAAGTCCTACGTTGCTGTTGATTGATTGGCAATGGAAGGAAAGGGCTTGAGAAGATCGACCCTAAAGATGTTACATCCCCTACTTAGTTACTTACTTCCATTGTCTTTATTTCTCGGCGTAATGTGTTTCTTGGCCTTCCTCCTTTCCTTTGACCTTGTGGGTTCCGAGTGAGGTATTGTCTTGTGACGCAGTTGGGTGCTTTCCGCGATGTGTCCTATCCACTTCCAGAGCTACTTTCTGATTTCCTCCTCCGCCGGAATCTGGTTTGTTTTCTCCCACATTAGGTTGTTGCTGGTGGTGTCTGGCCAACGGATCTGAAGTATTTTGCGTAGACAACTGTTAATAAATACTTGTATCTTCTGGATGATGGCTTTGGTAGTTCTCCAAGTTTCCGCCCCATACAGTAGAACTGTCTTAGTATTTGTATTGAAAGTTCTGATTATGGCGTTATTTGGTATTTGATTGGAGTTCCTAACTTGTCCCATCTAGAAACTTTCTAACTTTCGAACATAGTAATCACTCGATCTTTTTTTCAGTCATTTTGTATGCCTATATTTTTAAGGCTAGTAGAAGAAGGATATGAGACAAGTACTTAGCTATCTGAGTTTCAACTACAATTTCACGGGTTTTTTTTTCACCCATTTTTTAAGTACGTATGAACTCCTATCTGTGTGCACATAGAAGTTTATGAATGTCTGTTCATGTTTAATTGCCTTGGTACATCAAAGTATTATCGATAATCCTTTTGCTTATCACTAATAATTCTACCTCTCTTACTATGGAATTTGAATCAACAATTGCACCTGATTGCTTATGTGGTATGGCAGTTCGAACTGACTGACTACATTAAATCTAGGTACTTCATTTTTAGTTCAAGATATATATATATATATATATATACTTTTATTCGTTCATACACACCTTATTTGTGTGGTATTGTGGTGTGAGCTACTTATAAGTAGTATATGACGTGAGTGTCAACGTAATGTCTGGCAGCAGAAGATGGGGGAAGATCAAGAAACGAAGAGTTAGAACACAATGGAATTTGTATGAAACGCATGAATAGTGACAATGGATTGATGTTTTGCAAATTAACGATTTACGATATGGTTTTCCGATTTTACTGAGTAACTCTGTAATTTTCGTTAAATACAATTCGGTTGCCCCACCTGTGTTCTCGTTCACTACAGTATGTCTGTTAGCCTATGAACGCGAAATGAGCTTGTTCAAACTGAGCTTTATCGGAACCTAATTTTTACCACGTCGCAGGGGAAAGGTAGTCGAAAAATGTTCAAGTTGAGTAATAGTATGAAGTTATGCGGATAAGTTAGCTATAAGAGTCTTTCGGCTAAAGGTTCCTGATCACCGAAAATAACGTTTTTTCTTTATCTGCTTATAAAATATATTGTTTTAATTGTTTGGTATACATTTGTCATTTGTGTGGATTCATTATGATCATCTATTCAACCAGCTGAGCCAAATAAAAGGAAACTTCCATTTAAAAACCGGCATACCCATCACAAAATACGTGACATCCACTCGAACATGATTAATTAGTTGTATTTAGGCTGTATTTATTTTGTATCGTTTCTAGTTTCTTATGTTCTGACCATATCACTGAGAAATTTAATTTAATTGGAGTCAGAAATTAGTTTTTAATTTGACTAAGCACGTTATTTTGTTCTCATTCTTCTAGTCGTTACTTACTTTTCTCTATTTTGTTTATTATATCGGCCAGATGATAATGACTCACAGAAAACACATTAAAATGAGAAAATAGTGTTGTTATTTCCTAGACAATACACATAAGTTGATTGAATGACTGACTGATTGGTCTATATGAATCAAACATTAGCTTATTTAGAAGTTATATGTATTTTCTGATGGACATAACACATTAAAATTGTTTAAAAATTATTGCTCTGGTACATTTTTAGGTAATTAAGCTCAATGCGTTTCGTTTCTTACATTAGGTTTTATAATCACAGCAGGGCATAAATCATTCGTATCTTTTTGGTATAGTAACACTTGCTGCTTCATCCGAAGTCATGAACTGTCAAAATAAGACCTCTTCCTAGCCTATTCGTGGTCAGCTACTCAACAAACTGATCATTTATCGCATTTCATGTATATGTTTGCTCATCTAGTAGTTTATGGAAAATCACTAAGACTGTAATTCAACGTCATTAAATGAGTAAAAATTGAACATCACATCTAATAGCAGCCAGTCTGGCTTTCTGCACAACAATAAAAATTTGATATAACTATGAAGTAATTCTGGTTACTACTTACACTAATGCATCATCAAAATTTGGGATAGAATCTAAAAGATGTGCATTAGTTAGTCATAGGCATAAAATATATGAACCCATTTTGTTTGATATAAACGTCAATGTGAAACATTCAAAGTGAAATAAGCCGACCACTCAGATCAGTTTCAATTCGAGTACGCTTTGTGATTCAGTAGCATTTGTTTTGCCAGTTTATGACAATTGAGAAGCTAATTGTATCAAACCATATTTACTGTCGTATATTTAAATTATGTAGTTTCAGTATTGTTATTTATAATCATACTACCTTTCACCCTTGTTTCTGTATTCGATTTACTTTTTAGACTAATGAAAACTCTAAACTGGTTGGCTCAACAGATGCAATGCTCAGCTGCGCAAAAACCAGTGATTTGTTTCAAAATGGCCGTGTACCATCTGCCAAAATACATGAAAAAGAAATAATCTCAGCCTTAAAAAATCGTGACTTCTCTGTATTGGCAGAAGTGACTATGCGTGAAAGTAACCAGCTTCATGCTTTATGCTTAGATACCTGGCCACCCTGTGTTTATCTCAATGACTTAAGCTATTCTATAATGGATTTCGTTCACAAGATCAACAATTATTTTAAGAAATATGTGGTGAGATATTAATGTCTTTGAAATTTATTAAGTAATGGCCTTACAGTTATGTTGTAGTGATATTTTTTATTATTTAGAGAGCTTAAAACCTCTATCGCAGTCAGATACCCAAAAATTTTTCACACAAATGAAGAAATAGTATTGTAAAGAAAGCCGTTGGCTTTTATTTTGAGCCTTGTCTAATAATGTCTCAAGCCCATGAGTTGCACCATATTTAAGATCTTAACTAAAGGTGACCAAAGAGACTCTAGCCTTATAACCTTGGGAGCATATCATTAGCTGGCCACCGCTTTTTCATCCAAATCCCAACACTGGAAAATAATGAGCGGTTTCGAGCTGATAAGTTGGTATTCGTAAAGTGTATTCAAAGTACAGGAGCCACTGTTTCCAAATAATGTCACTCACTGAAATAACGTCACTAAACAAGTACAAACTGTAGGACGGAACTGGCGAAATGCAATTCGCAAAGCTTGCGTATCATCCCATATTAAGACACTGTCACCCTCCTACTCAGGATCTGTTATTTGGAGGTGTTCTCATAATGTCATCGACAAAACAGTTAAATAGTGGGATTTGAATTAACAACTGAATCTCTGTGCTAGTGTGGTATAGCATCTTGAACTGATGTACGTACGTATGAAGTCCTACGTTGCTGTTGATTGATTGACAATGGAAGGAAAGGGCTTGAGAAGATCGACCCTAAAGATGTTACATCCCCTACTTAGTTACTTACTTCCATTGTCTTTATTTCTCGGCGTAATGTGTTTCTTGGCCTTCCTCCTTTCCTTTGACCTTGTGGGTTCCGAGTGAGGTATTGTCTTGTGACGCGGTTGGGTGCTTTCCGTGATGTGTCCTATCCACTTCCAGCGCTTCTTTCTGACTTACTCCTCCGCCGGAATCTGGTTTGTTACTGTACCCTCTATTTCACAGATCTTTTATGAGTCATATTTCATTCAATTTCACCCTTTGAGTTGAAGCTAGAACCAGTTTGCAAACGTTTGTCAGCTTTACTATTGTTAATGTCCTCTGACCATCTCTATCGTCTTGACAGGAAACTGTGGAATTTAGTTAGTCTACGGCTTAATAAAATCTACTCACTTCTGAATAAGTTTTCGATTAATTTTTACTTACGTGTACCTATGGTATTTCTATTCTATAGATTATAATATGTTCTTTTTTTCTATTTATAGGTTGCTTACACATTTGATGCTGGTCCAAATGCTTTTTTATTGATTGAATCACAAAACATTTCCTTTGTTCTGAAATATCTTGTCGAGTGTTTTGGTTATACGGTGGGAGCCGGTGTTTCTAATAATGATGCTGATAAAATTACCATAAAACATATGAATTCGAATAAGTATCTGAAACTTACTGGGATTCCGTACAGTTTGTCAGATAAGCCATTAGACCAGGTTCTTTCTAAAATTTATGTATATATATATATATATATAATTTGCAAATTCATGAATTTCCCTAATTGGTTTTATACTTCCATATAAAAATCCGTGTATATTATGGTTAAACTTGGCGATCATCCAATCGAAAGCAATTCAAGTGGTTCATGTTTATTGTTCTGATTTTAGTTGGTTGTCATCCAAATATATTGTCACTTATTCGAATATGCATATTTTTTGGTAATGACTGCCTTTTGAGAGTTACCAGCTGTTTCTGGGGAAATTTTCTTCCAAAGATAGCAAATACGAATGTGATACATTTGATTCTGTCCTATCATTTATGAAATAGTATGTTGTCTTGCATCACTGACCTCATTCCCCCTACCGTAACTGCTACTTTGACGTGGTGGTCGGGCTTGCCTATCGTGATGACCCAGCCGAGCTATATTGGCTGGAACATATGTTCCTGTAGGTTCTACCACGCCAGGCAGGTCGATTGGAGAACGATGAGACTAAAAGCACCTACTCAAGGTCTGAGGGCGTAGTCGTACTGCTGACTGTAGAGGGGTGTGATATCAGTAAGGTGTTTCACTCGGACAACCAGCATCTGCAGCGATGCTGCCTTCTCACAAGGAAGGAAGGGTTAGAAAGGGTCGACCCTAAAAATGTCGCACCTCACACTACCTCACGGATTTCCGTCTCCGGCGGTAAGGGTGCCCACTAAGGGATTTTAAGAGCGGAGGTAATCCTCAAAATACCTTTCATAAAAATGCCATGCGTGACCAGCCTCAAGCAGTTGTCCCTTGGACTCTGCAGTCACGCTCCCAGGTCTCCAAGACCAACATTAATCTATCTCTTTTTTCAGGTCCCTAAAGAAACAACTTTTGGGCAGCCGTGAGTTGACGACCGCCTTCATACCCGTAACAGCACACGAGACCGAATCGGTCAAAATCAAATCCTTCCTACACACCCTAGTATCCCTCTTATCTCCACGACTAACTCTGCTCGCATTCCTTTATCTCACTGCACCGCTAATGCAAACGATTCGAGTTCACGAAACGTCATTCCTGGTCTCTTGAAACCCCGTTCTTGACTACATGTTGGAACATTTAATGTACGGACATTGTGTAAAATAGAGCAACAGGGATCATTAGCTAGGACTTTAGAATCTCGTGCCATCGGTGGATGCTGCGTCTCGGAAACGGCCAATTCAAAACATGGCAGAAATCCATGAAGTCATTGACGAGTGGACTTAGTCATGTCGATAGTTGTCGACTACCTAGTTGGGGTCCGCGAGATGATAATAATCGATGGTTAGAGACCTTGAATGACATGGCTCAAAATCGTTCGCAATGGCGCCGGTGCATTTATTCTTTGTGTTCTCTCAAATTCTAATCTTCTGTATTCTTCAATCCCTCTAGTTTTGACTTTCTAAACTTTTCTCACTGAATCATACTTCTTGAATAATATCTTCTAATTCTAACCTCTCCGATTACTTCTAATACCTTTACTACCTCTTCTATTATTGGATATGAATTGACAATTACATCTCTGTGCTGATGTGTTATGGCGACATGAACTGATGTACTTACGTACGAAGTTCTACGTTGCATCTGACTGACTGTCTGGCAACACAATTTATACACTTTATGCACAATTTTTTATTCCTTATCTTGTGTTACCTTCTTCACATATTTTATTGCATTATTTTGTTTTTTTTAAATACAGGATCTTTTGAAAATATTGCCGTCTATTTCTGGTGGTATTCAATACTTAATCAGTACTGAAGTAAGTACCGAGGTTATTTATCATATTGATTCTGTTGTTCCTGTTTGGGTACTTTTTCCCTACTACAGTGTGCTTCTGCTTATCTAAACTGACTATTGTTATTTCCGAATATATCGTAGTCCAACATATTTACGTAATCATGATTTACATTGAAATAACTAAGCAGTCAAAAGCACACCACGATAATAGTCTATATTTAAATCATACAATCACAGACTGATCAAATTCCAGAGAATCTAATATTACAATTCTGAAAGTATACATCATCTTACCAGTCAGAATCAACTTGACAAACCATACAGCATTATGGTTATGAATATGTCAATTATTCTCAGCTAATTTAAATCAGTGTTTCACTGTGGTATCAAAACCTTCAGAATTGTAAATGACTGGAATGTCACATACCTTTTTTCATATGATACAATATAGCCAAGAAATTTAATCTCAACTCCACACTGAATCCTAGAGTCGTAATGCCGTTTGTTTTATCGAAACTAACCTGTTGTTTAAGTTTTTGATATAATTTCCTGTTATCTATTACGGTTCTCTTTGTGACCAGTCGAACTTGTGCATGATGTGCTTTAATAAGAACAAAGTTACCGTTGCGTAATTGTCTTACACTATAAATCCATCTTATTTACTGCTTGATATTCCTCAATAAAGTAAATGCTAAAATTTGCGTGATAGCGAAATTTACCATTGCTATGAATTATGACGAATAGTAACGATACCTATTAGCCTTCGGTTTAAAATGGTCGAAAAACCTTGGGGATTTAACTTTTAATACTAAATGTTTCATCAATATCTTTTCGAGTTTCATCAATATGATGCATTTACTTTAGTGATTTAGGGGCGATCGAGTTAGTATTTTGGTTACAGGATCAATATTTAGTTATTCAATAGATAATATGTGACTAGACGGTTTTGATCAAGGAAATATATATATATATATATATATCAGAACATAAACGATTAACTACAGTTACAAAAATAAAAATCACAGGTGTTTAGTCTTCAACTAGCTTCCGGTTATTCCGAATTATGAACTGATGGGAGTCGTTTCCAAATTGGAGCGGGATTTACTCGTTATGCGACACTCGAAAACTAATCCCTACCTTACTGCAACACTTATACCCCCTATGCAATTGAAGGGAGAAAACAGGAATTCAGAGAAGCTTAACATTTCAAGAAGTTAAAATTGTTATACAACAACTTCGACTTCAGAGTGTGTATGAAAAAAACTATACGGCTAAAGTAATCAATCAGACATTAGCAAATATCAGTGCGTTAATGTTAATGATAAAAATACCAAGAAATCCCTTTTTTATCAGAACGGCAAGTTATTGTTAAAAGTAAAAACTGGATAATTTGCAACCCTTCTTGAAACAATGAACCAATAATCTTTCGGTTCTGACTATCGTATCTCTGAAGTAAATGTTCAGTTCTTACCGGGTAGTTTTAATAATCCTGTTAAACAATGAGAATATCTTTTTTACTTTCTAGCACTATCATGAAAGTCAACTATACATAGTTTGTCTACTATGTATTCGGATTACCAAGTGATCTACCATCCGTATTAAGCAAGTCAAACACATGTTATGTAAACACTGGTTTTTTATCTTCATTTAATTTCATTTTTATGTTTAGGTAGGCAATGGTCCACAGCTTATGTCATTTATTCGTTGAAGATACCTGAATCATATGAAAACCGAGATTTCCGGTCAAATGTATTTATCTACTTCCTGTCATTATTTCGGACACGTTTTGTTCAGTCATGTTTTACAAAGATCAAATAAATTCTTACTTTTAACTGAACTTATCTCATTCTTAAGATCCATCAGTAGTAAATGCGTGTAGTTGACTATTTTGTAGACTTATTTTTGTACTGAGGCATGATAAAGCGTGTCTTGCTGTTAAATCTTTACTGGTTTTGCATGAAGAATTCATCAGACAGATAACATACAGTCTAAATCGCTCACATACCATTTTTTCCATTCAATTACATCGCTGTGTATAAATGATATACGTCCCAGAGTGAACATTGATTCGGAGATGCAGGTATATTCAACTGACGAGTTCCAAACCGAACGAAGTGCTAGCTATTGTCCACCTCTGATAATAATGCATGCTTTTATCCTAATGACAACTTCGAGGCAATCCGCACAAGACTCAAATATGCTAAAGAGACTGATCGATTACAGTCTAAAATATCGATGTGGAGAATCAAACAACTACTACAGGTGAATTGGATATAATTTTGGTTTACCGATGCCTTACGATTTCTACCACAAATACATAGGAATACTTGGTTATATACCAAGCCTCTTTAACTTGAAACCAGGTACAAATCTATTTATCCGATGAATGTGTTCTAATAATAATATATTCATTCTCAAATAACAGTATGCTACAGGAGGCATGCCAGTTTACAGCCTAGATCAAATTATCACAGATGTTACCACATTTACTGCAGAATTTATTGCAGTTAAATTAAGGATAAGGTTTAGTTTCTGATATCACGTCTACATTATGTCACTGACAGGAACAGTTTGATACATCCACAATTTCAGTCGGTGAGTACAAATGGGGAGGGTGCACAGTAGGTTTCTTGGGTGGTTTGCTTAGATCAGTAGTGAGTTTGTTGGGAAAGGTCGATTGGGAATCTCTCAATACAAACTGTGATCCAGACAGTCATGTACCTAGGGTGCATGTTCCCTAGAGTCGCCAAGGATTTCCCACCGTGAATGTGGTTCTGAAAAGGAGAAGAGAGAGAGAGAAAAAGGCAGCAGTGTGGCAAGTGTATATATATATCCAAAGCACTACTTAACCTGTCATGTTGAAGTAGTCAATACAGTAGTAAGTCAAGATCAAATTCATACTGACCACTTACATTAAAGTAAATTACAGCAATATAACCAACAAATGAAAGAGTACAGCAATGAAGAAGGAAAAGTCCAGGAGAGTGTCAAGTGAATAGAAGAGAAGTTGAAACAAGAAGCTGGATTTATGTATGTCGAAACCGAAATTTCAGTAAAAAGAGTAAAGTTTGTAAGAAACGTTGATGATTAAAATTTTTTCACTGTCTAACTGCTTTTTTACTAAATGCCAACCTCCTAATCATATTGTAAGCGCCTGAGTAAGCGTGTTGCGGGTGTCTTGGCAGAGAAGTGCCGAAAGCAAACAAAATGTTCTGGCATACAAACATTGGGGGTTTGAAGCCATCGCCTACACCATCAATGTTTGCTGCTCAGTGTCTCCACCCTCCCTCCTTTTGTGTTGTTAGGCTCATGATAAATGTTTAAAAGAAGCTATTGAGTTCTACTTGGTGTTCTATGTCTCGCATCCTGTTGAGAAACACTATTTCTGCAAGTTCCTTGCACAAGCTTATCTGTCTGTTGAAACTTATGAACCATTTGGTTATGCCTCAGTGCAATACACTTAACAGTTATTGAGAAAAAGTACGGGTTTTCGAACAAGCTTCGAGCAGTTAGAATGTGGTGTTGGAGATGTGGTCAACGAAGGGTCAGATAGTATTCCAGCCAGCATGCTGAAAAATAGGGGCAATGATCTGTGTGCTATTCCTAAAATATTTGCTATATCACTATCTACAGTATTTTACCCTTATAACTGGAGGACTACACATATCATCCCCACAATCAAATCTGGGCATACAGCGAATGTTGAAAATTACCGACCTATAATTATAACTTAAGTAGTATCTAGGTTGATGGAGAAAGTAGTTAAGGCGGAGTTAATACATCTACTTAACAACGATCTGATATTGACCTCACAGCATGGGTCCTTGGGGTCTAGGTCGTGTGACATATGACTGCTTTTTGTAAGGTCACACACAGAATACCTCTCCTCAGACTAAAGTCATTCGGAATCAGTAACCCACAATATTCATGGTTTGTCTCATTCCTAAATGGACACAAATCAATGGTAATATACAACGATTTTCTTTCAGCTCCGAGACCAATAACCAGTGGAGTTAGCCAGAGAAGTGTATTAGATGCACTGTTGTTTCTGATGTATATAAAAAATATATGTAATACTATGAGATTTGGAAGAGCACACTTATTGCGGATGATCGCAAAATAGTATAAAGCTGTAAGCCTGAAGATCTGGAAGAAAATATAGCCAGGAATCAGAGTGATCTGGACAACTAAACTACCTGGAGCAAAACATGGCAACTACCGTTTAACCAAAATAAATGTGGCATCATACATTTTAGTAAGCATCACCATGATATACCACTCTACTTACAAAAATTTAGGCTTCAGACACCTACATCAGCGCACGATTTGGGTACCCGTTACTCCAGAAGCCTAAAATCCGAAGAACACGCCTCAACTATTATCTCTAAATCCAGACGACTAATTGGGCTTATAAATAAGAACTTCTTGACAAGTGAGGCTAAGCTTACACTCTTCAAAATGTGTGTAAGGCCCTCACTTGAATATTGCTAACTTATCTTCTCGAATATTAATATCATGGACAAGATAAGAGTAGAAAATGTCCAAAGAAGCTTTACACGTCGACTGCTCAGATGGAGCCATAACCTCAACTACACAGAAAGATGCAAACATCTTTCCCTAAACCTCCACGGCGCCCACGGTTGAAAAACAACCTAATACTTCTCCATAAACTGATAAGTGGTCTCTCGTTCGTAAAGTACCGCCCAATTATAAACCACCACACCGCTTACATACCTGGAAACAACGCATATACATTATTAACGGCAAAACACAAAAAATCATTGCATTGTAACTTGTTTGCAACACGATACAGTCTATTGTGGAGCAGATAACCAATTACTATTCGTGTCTGTGACACAATTACCAAGTTCAAGAAACTAGTAGTGCTGTTGTTAGCCTCTAAACAGAGTTATCGCTTATTCCCGGAACTGGCACCATGTTTTGAGGCACTCTTTTATGGTTCATCAAATATTTAGGTAGACCTTAGGAACTGATATCAGACTATGAACATATTATGCTCGTGTTACCATCCATACAGGTATCGCTAAATGATAGACGAATCCCCCAGCTCCTACTAACAGTAATAGGTTATGCCTTTGAGGTGCTACCCATGACATTTGAACCTTTTTCTGAATTTAAATTCCAATCATTATTTTCATATCTTCAAAGCAGTTCTAGTTTTCATTTCTAGTAGACAGATAAATTGGACAGTCTGTAGATACTGATCAACTACTGTCAATTACAAGGTACTCAACTTCCCATTACATCACAGTATATAGAGCAGGACATGAAGGAGTTATGAATGTCGCCCTCAAAAGATGGTAATGTTACATTCTATCGGAATGTATTTTTCATCACTAATTTTTGTAAATTCGTCGTACATCAACAGACATTGGCATTGTGATGAGTCCTTTCATCTCTAGCTCACAGGGCTCGTCCCACTTGTCTTTTGACCTAGTCAGTCATTCGTTCATATCTGCGTTGCTTTTATTCGTGTGTGTGCTCACCTATCTCGCTTATTAAATGTCTAGATTATGTTCGTCTGACTATAATTTCTTACTCATGCTTCATCAAATTGAGTTGGCTCACTCGCATTATCCACTTCACTTCTATTTTCCTTGATTGTATGCTTTACATGATCTTGTCTGCGTGGACGATTGTCTGTAATAAACTCATCCAATCGAACCTGTATTTGTTTTCTTACTAACGCCATCGCCCAAACGCTGGTCGCCTAAGTATAATATACGGAAACTGATGGGGAGATTTATTGCATAGCGCATTTAAATGTTCATATATATTGGGTTGTGGGCCACCAAAGTAGTGGCCCCTACATTGAATCTAATAAAGCACAAAAACGTAGGCTAAAGAATCTATTTTAACTACATCATTTTGTTTACTTACATTGATATTTCTTAGAAACATATTTTTTCTTTTGTATGTATAAACTGATACTTAGGTATTTTACTATTATTTCTGAATAAAAATACTTGTCGCCCTAGGTGAGATTTGTTAAAATCGTTTGACTGTTATAAAACCCAACTAATATTACCACTTAACAATTCGTTTCATTCTCTTCTCCTGTCAAAATTCAGATCAGACCTACCATGGTATAGCGAAGTAAATAATACAAAATATTTTGAGCATAATGCTAAAGACGCAGCTAGCAGATCTTTTTTCATTAGTGAAACAGTCTTAAGCGCCAAAATGGTGCATCCTATATTTAGATGAATCAAAATGTTGGCTCACTAGGGTGTTGTGATATTGTCTTGTCGAAGGAATTGGACGTAGTCGGTTAGGAGAAAGTCTAAAGGTACTTGGTTTTATATAATACACCAGCCCCATAAAGGGCGGTCGAACGAAAGAGTGACAGTAGGTTTTGCACGACTACCAACTTCTTAAAAGTAACCCCTTTATTAACTACAAATATTCAATGATTACCGAAATTTGCGCTGTATTAGTTCAACACAAATAAAGATTGTATCGTTCAAAAAAACAATCAGCAAAACTGACTTTCAAAACATTGACTTTTCTCGAGTTGTGAAGTCACAATTTGGTGAAGTTTAGAAAAAATACTGTCCATTTAGAAATCGTGTAGTGACCTCACATATATTTGAATTCGCTTACATTTTATTAGGTCAAGCCTTTCGGTTAATTTATTTAACCAGGTCATTTGTATAACTCATATGTACCATTGGCTTTTATTGTTGT